TGTGCGCTGCTGAGAACCCGTTCATGAAGTTTGCTATGTCCCACGAGTCTCTTTGTGCGCTGCTGAGAACCCGTTCATGAAGCTTGCTATGTCCCACGAGTCTCTTTGTGCGCTGCTGAGAACCCGTTCATGAAGTTTGTCGTGTCCCGCGAGCCTCTTTGTGGGCTGCTGAGAACCCGTCCATGAAGTTTGTCATGTCCCGCGAGCCTCTTTGTGCGCTGCTGAGAACCCGTCCATGAAGTTTGTCGTGTCCCGCGAGCCTCTTTGTGGGCTGCTGAGAACCCGTCCATGAAGTTTGTCGTGTCCCGCGAGCCTCTTTGTGGGCTGCATGGGACACGTCCCTGGTTGCCTCTAGCGGAGCTCTCCTCTTGGGACACCACAGGTTCTGAAAATAGCTTTCAGAGGGTCCCTTTAGACATTTCAGATGGGGTTGAAATGTCAAATCCCTTTCTCAGATATTTTGAGATCCGTCTCAGCATTGAGTCGTTAATTAGCGAGGCTGCCCATGTCGGTGAGCACTCTTCTCAATCAACAGGAAGTACTATTCACGAATAGGAAAACCGACACTCTCTTTAAGGCCCTGGGAGGCCAGGAAGTGAAGTTATTTGGCAAACGGCTAATGGGGTCATTTGAATGCCTCGATTCTCTTTTCATTACCGCTGAATGGGTACAAAGACCTTTACAGGTCACAAAAGTTATGTTTGAGACTTGGAATATTTTGTTCCACCGTGTAAATCAAGTTACATTTCAGATGACGTCACGCCCTATTCGAGGATTTTACGCTATAAGCAAGCACGAGGATCGATGCATCCGTCCCACCCGCTCCAGATGGACCAAACAGCCCTGGCCTCATCGGGCGCGCCTCTCTCAGGGCGCTCAACACCACTGTGTCCCTCCTGCGCAAGGACAGGAGACTGGCTGCCATGCGGTCAATGCTCCATCGCTCCTTCTTTTTTTTACATTCGGCGGGCTGGCGGGTGGGAAACCCCACCGGAGCAGACGGACCAGCCGAAAGACAACGGACGGACGGGGCCGGCTGCACAGGCACGTCCGCAGCAGGCGGGTCTTTGATCTGCAGCACGTTACCGTGACCATGACGCACCCCTTCAGCTGCTGCTGGGTACGCAAGGACATGCGCTTGGCTCTTGAAGGGGTGGAAGTCACGCGTTGGGATCATGCACAGTCATCCCCAGTTACAAAGCGCTGTGGTAAGTGTGCATAAGCGTATAAGCGCGCTGTGGTAAAGCGCGTTAAGAAAACGGGAAAATGCTAAGTGAAATGCAGCTTACATGACGGATGACACGTTATACGCTATTCACCTTTGATGGTAGAGGCGGAAAACACTTCAAAAGTGTAAGCTTAGTGTAAAAAGTTCAACATCGACCTCTTTACACGCTTGTACACTGAGCTCCCAGACGCGGCATGGTTGAAGTGACGAAATGACTGTACAGCTGCTTTTCCAATGTGATTAGTGATATGTGTATATTTCATCAGATAGTGATAGATAACAGGAAGCAGTCGCAACGAGCTACATCTGGCCAGCAGTGGCTAAATTTGGTGGGCAGCGACGCTGATGCCGCGGCCCAAAATTTGCGCCTTTCAGCCCCCTGTGAGTGAGGTTGTTGACATCGTCGACATTGGGGCTGTTCGACCCGCTCGTCTGCTGCGGCTGAATGGTGTTGTTAGGGCGTTGTCATGCGCGAAAATCAGGCACACAATGGCCGAGGGCGTTGTCCTACTCGAGCACCGGGCGCCCCATGGTCGAGGGCGTTGTCGTGTTCGAGCACCGAGCACGCCATGGTCGGGGGCGTTGTCACGCTCGAGCATCGAGCACCCCATGGTCGAGAGTGTTGTCACGCTCGAGCACCGGGCGCCCCATGGTCGAGGGCGTTGTCACGCTCGAGCACCGGGCGCCACATGGTCGAGGGTGTTGTCATGTTCGAGCACCAGACACCCAATGGTCACCCTCAGACAAGCAGGTTTGGAGCGCCACCAACAGCATGCTTGTCGCTTTGCATTTCAAGTTTGCGGCGTTGTGGATTGTGATGTGTCTCACAGAGTCGGATTTAGTGCCGAGTTCTGGTGTACTGTTGCGAGGTTTCTGAAGGAGAGCGTTCAACGCAACCAATTCGAACTGAGGCTCCGTGGCAGCTTGGCGCTTCAACACAGCGCACCCGCTCGCAGCGCATTGCAAACGCACGAGTTTTTGGGACGTGGCAGCACCATCGTCGCTCCACAGCGCCGGATTTCGCTCCCTGCGACTTCTTTCTCTAAGATAAGGTTCAACTTATAGTGTCGCCGCTTAGACACCGTGGAGGAGATTCGGCTCGAGTCGCAGGTGGTTGGTGCCTGATACCCTTAAAGAACAGGACTTCCTGGGAGCGTTCCAACTCGGGTGATGTCGTCCATGGGCTTTGCCATAAGTCTTGTGTGCACTCGCTCTGTACAAGGCAGATGGAAACCTGCGTTACCGGTGTGGAGACTTCGATGCGGTGCGGCCGCTAGCCATGGATAGTAACGCTGCGAGGCGGCCAGAACATCGGACGCTTTTCGTGCAGGTAATAAACAAGCTGGTAGCGGTGGGTGTATGTAACCAGAGAGGCAATCGCGTATAATGTAACGTCGAATATGGCGATGTGCTTTGTAAGCTCATGCGATGAGCCATGACAATGAAATTGATGTGTGGGTGCTGGTGCGCATAGCCGCGTACCCGAATGTGTAGAATTTCATGAGGAGGGTAATAATGTGCTAATGCAAGTTGATATGCGTAGCGGTTACATGTTATCACCGTGAAGAGCAGAAACGTACATGCGTCAACTTTTGAGATAGGCAGCCTGAGCTTCGGGCTACCTTTCTACCAGAAGCAGGTCGATTATTACTGGTAGCTGGAGATATCCGCAAACCGATCACGTTAAATTAAATGGCAAGCGTAATCAAGTGCTTTGCAAATTTATGTATAGCAAAACCGGCGTAGGAAGGGAATACACCTACGCAGGAGCGTGGTTATTAGGGAGGGGGATGGGCCCCAAACTTTCGTGAAAACTGGAATAGGCGTCGACTGCAAAGAAGGAACCCAATGGTTAGCGTGAGAAAGAGAGTGCGAGTTAAGCAAGATGGTACATCACTACCAATGTCCCAATAAAAGCAAGAGTTCTAGGCAGGTTAAAGGTAGATACGAAAGGTATGCACTGCCAATACGAAATAAAGTCCGCTTTACCTAGCTAGCTATGAGATAAAATTTTCCTGCATAGGTCCGCGTCTGTATGGTAAAAATGCATGCATCAACTAATGTAGAAAGGTATGCAGGCTACTCCACTATGCTCACTTACCTTACTCGCCGACAGTGCAACTAGTGCATCTGGCGAAAAAGCTACTCACTCGCACCGACGGCTACGGCGTGACCGTGGGGCACACGACGATGTAGCTTTGAAGCGCAGTGTAACATGGTCTGCCGCTTTACACGCGCTCGGGTGGGGCTAATTTGATCCCCCCCCCCCGGAAGGTTTTTTCCGGAATGGTTTCCGAACAACGTGGCGTAGCCACGCCAAATTTTACAAAGCTGTAAGACAACTAAATAGGGGATCGTCTTCTTCCAAAGTTTAGATGTACCTTGTAATGTCGCTGACCTATGGCAGGTCAAAGTCAGGCCATGGATTCAGTGAAGTCAGTTTCAAGGGAATCGTTCAATCTGATACATCAACGGAGTTAGAAAACGCCATACATTTCTGATATACTTTCTTAGGCAACACAACAATGGAATGAG